ACTCTCAAAGCCGTGATTCCCATCCACTTGCATTATAAGACTGACAGACTGCAACAGTTTGTGTTAAAAATATTCGTTTGTGTTCTACTCAAGAAACAAAGTCACCTACATATTGGATGCCCTGGGGGTAAGCAGATAAACATCAAATTTTCATTTTTGGGTGAACTATCCCTTTAAGATATCAGGTTACTTCCTGTTAAATATGTTTAAGTTCATTACAGTGAAAGTTGTTATCCTCCTTTCTTGGTCATAGGCAACAACGTGCAGTGATATACATTCCCGTGAACTCACAAAATAAAATGCATCTAAATACAGCACCATTACTGATATACTGATTTACATCTCTAGTGACAAACAGATGCAATTTTTTTAAATAGATTTTTTTAAAAGTTGTGCAAGATTTATTTGTTTAACCCCTCATGTTGTGTTCAATTTGACATTTGAATTTTGATTATAAAAGTATATAAATCCCACTGAACATTGCCAAACTTATACACAAAATATATGTTTTATTTTTTCACTCAAAAAATGAGGTGCATAAGCTCAAATCAATGAGGCCTATGATCAAGTTGACAAAAAGACTGAATCGAAGATTTGGTGATAAGTTAGCATAATGAGAGATTTACGAGCAATTTTTAACAGGCTGGTCATTTTTGACAGGGAACACAAAATGAGGTAAAGGTTTTTCAGCACAGCACAGGAGTTAAAAATCGATAGAATTAGATGAACAAGTCCATTTTAGTTCAAATCCAAGCCAGAATCTTTTAATACTCCCTGAAATAAACAGAATTGGGCATGTGAAAACTCTCTGTTCTATGAGGTAATTAAAAAGAGTCTGATTTATAGGCACAAAAATAGCAAAGGTGAGCTCCAATCAGACACTGTGTTGCAATGCTGTTGAGCCTGTTCTGTTACAAAGCGTTCTTTTCACAGACATTCTCCTTCAGGATAATAAGAGGGAAGGGAGGGGACACTGATTTGCATATAAGATTATTTGCATACTGGGGTGATGACAGATGCAGGAGCCTGCAGGGGCAAATCTGGACTCCACTTGCAAATGCAGGTGAAAATACAAAGGGATGGATTTAAAAGGTCATTAAACATGTAGGTGCTGTGAAATTCATCAAACAAAAATATCTGCCTATCAATCAACTTTAAAGGCGATTTTATCAATATTTTGATTTTTTTTTTGCACCCTCAGATTCCAGATTTTCAAATAGTTGTATCTCGGCCAAATATTGTCAAAAAATAATAAAATAACAAAAGTTGAGTGCCATCCAGTCTGTCCAATGAACAGGCAATTGTATTCATCTGTTTTTAAGTAACATGAAAACCACGATATTCTGTCGACTTGTACACCTTTACATAAACACAAATCCATCTCTGTTTTCAGAAAAAAAAAAGAAAAAAGAAAGAGAAGGAAATGGACCTGATTTGCACATTTTCTTGAAATGTATGAGGAAATACTGGGTTTTATCAGCCCTCAACTATGACACAATTACTGAAAGCCTTCTAAAGCTTTCTTTTAAATTTAAAAGGTTTACATTTTGGCGATGCTGTTCCTTAAACATAGAAAGTCTCAATTTTAAAACTCTATTCATCTATCTTACAGTAAACAAACATACTTAGCCATATGAATATTCCTTAATTGTTTTATTATCATAATTATTTGCAACTATAACTATAGTCAAATATAATTTAAGGCAAAAAGTGTTAAACACATTAAAACGTTACTTAAAAACATTAGCCCAACACAGCAACAAACTGCTCAACCATTTTTGATATTCCATTTTGTGTTGCTTACGGCACAAAATTGCACACTTCAGGTTTAATATAGATAAAAATTGTCTTATTAAATGGAATTGTACGTTTTTTTTTATGTTTTTGAAAGAAGGTTCTTATGCTCACCAAACCTGCATTTTATCTGAATAAAATACAGTAAAAACTGTAATTTTGTGAAATATTTATGCACTTTAAAATAACGGTTTTCTATTTTAATATATTTTAAAACTATTTATTCATGCAATAGCAAAGTTGAATTTTCAGCAGCATAAGAGATTTCTTTCAAAAACATTTTAAAAATCCTAATAATTCCAAATTAAATGTTTATTTTCATTTTTACTTATATAAAAAGTGTTATCTTGTGATTTTTTAAAATTTAAACTGTCCTGTTAAACATTTGACACAAAACGAAAAACTGCTCAACCATTTTTGATATTCCATTTTGTGTTGCTTACGGCACAAAATTGCACACTTCAGGTTTAATATAGATAAAAATTGTCTTATTAAATGGAATTGTACGTTTTTTTTTATGTTTTTGAAAGAAGGTTCTTATGCTCACCAAACCTGCATTTTATCTGAATAAAATACAGTAAAAACTGTAATTTTGTGAAATATTTATGCACTTTAAAATAACGGTTTTCTATTTTAATATATTTTAAAACTATTTATTCATGCAATAGCAAAGTTGAATTTTCAGCAGCATAAGAGATTTCTTTCAAAAACATTTAAAAAATCCTAATAATTCCAAATTAAATGTTTATTTTCATTTTTACTTATATAAAAAGTGTTATCTTGTGATTTTTTTAAATTTAAACTGTCCTGTTAAACATTTGACACAAAACGAAAAGGTCAACATAAATATAATATCACTTTTAAATTTCATGTAAATCACTTCAATAGCACTATCAAAGTGATAAGTGTAAACACTGGCTTATTGCATGTCATGTTTACAGTAAACTCACCTCATGGCTACGTTGGACCCATCAATAACTATTGGTCTGAGTGCGTCCTCATCCTCTACCAGCTCTTCTGAAGTGCTTGACACTGCCGGAGCATTATGACTGTAATTCTGGGTGCTTCGGACCTTACAGGAAGCATCCCCACGTGAAACCAGCACCGGGGAGGCTGTCGGTTCCTCTCTCTCCTCTGACTCCCCAGCAGCCTGTATCAGCTCACCCAAAACCCTGTTGGTGTCTGCGTTGAGGCCGAGTTTCAAGAAAGCGGCACGGACCTGCATTTGGGAAAACCCCAGCTTGAGGAACAGGTCGAGCTGGGCCTGAAACTCAGAGCTTAGTTCTGAGAATTCATCTGGAGTCGGGCTGGACTGGGCCGGGTCCATTCTAATGCTGCTGGAAACGGTTGGGTTGTACGAAGATGTGGGTGCTGTTACCCATGCGTTGGTGGTGTTTACGTCAGAGCTGTGGGATTCTACACTGGATGACCAAAAGGAATCCAAATACAAGTGTAACGAGGGGATGGTGCTGATTTCAGCACTCATCTCTTCTTCCGGAAAAACCTCCTTGTCTGTCACACCTGTTTAGTGAATGTGTAATAATAGATATGATAAACAAAGCATTCATAGCTAATTAAGATATTTATTTATAGCCTCAGATAACATTACAATATATCTAGTATCTAAATGCCACATGGCAATGGAGTTACACTATGTGGCAATCTGATTAATATTTAAAAATATATATTTAATTATTAATTTTAAACCAATTACAATGACTATAACTAATTACCATTCAATAAATCATTTTTTCAATAAATCATATTTTATTTAAATGAATTAAATCTATAAAAATACATAACTTAAACATGAGTTTGCATTTATATTCAAACGTATAATATATATAAATACATAAAAATAATAAATATGTATCGAATCGCAATCATCTATAAACAAGCTATAAAATCAACTGCACAGGAAACGTATTTTTCATACGTGAAACTTCAGGCTTCACTGCCTAATTTTACAATGAGCAGGTCTCATTACTCACTGTCATTTTAGGTTATGAAATATTGACACTATAACAGCGACATCACATTATTTCATTGTTTCCACTCTCTTTATTTGCGGCGCGTAGCCTACCCGCATTCCAACACATGGACGCACTCTGACCCTTTACTTAAGCTCACCGCTTTGTTTACCAATATTTTAAAGTTTATTTCTACATAAGATCACAGTATTAGTAGCTATTAAACGGTTTACTATCACAAATGTCTATGTCAACTATTAGAAATGTCAATATACAGAAACTATCGCAAAGTGTATTTATATATACAAATATAGAAGTTGGAAAAGTTACAAGCAAAATAAAAGTTTTACGTACCTTTACTTGATCAGTTCTCTTTGTGTTTCGAGCTGCTGTCTTCTTGTAAAAAAGTTAAGTACGTAAGTACGTAAGCTTCGTTCCGGTTGAACCCAAAGCAGCAAAATACCGGAGAGAATCGACACGCCTTTATGTTAGAAACGCAGAACCAGGAAGTAAGTCGTGTGCTGACGTCACGGGGGCCTTCGGCTTTTACCATACAGTACAGTCGATTTATTTCTCTTCTTCCTCTATTAAGAATAATAATCTATAATAAAAGACTTTGCTTTAAAAGGCAGACGTTATCTAAAAAGAAACTAACTTTAAAAACAAGAAGTTGTAAAATGTTGTAATATTTGTAAACATTTTTGTGTTTTTATTTAGCTTCACTTTATTTCTATAAAGTGACTTTTTTGTTCTTTGTTTCATTTATTATAATGTACCTACTGGCTGCCTTCGTTTAAAAATAAATTTTCCGTTAGAATCAAGTTTTACACATCATATGAGAACTGAGGTCATATGAGAACTTTAAGTTCCACTTTTTATTTCCTAGAAAACCCAGAAACCACAAGCCAATACACTGATCTGAAGAAACTATACCCTAATGAAACATCGAGAACTACTTTAATTTATTTTAGTAACAATTCTTTATAAGAAGATAAAGGTCTTTGATGAACTTAAGATCATACAAAGAACTGACCAAGTAAGTAGTCTGTGATTTTAACACAAAGGTTTTATTATTTTGTGTGATACTTTTAAATTCATAAAATAATAATAACAATAACAACAACAATAATAATTAACTTATTTATAGATTTATTGCTTTTAAACAACACAACAAATTGGTCTAATAATTAGTTTCTTCAAATAAACTAAAATAGGCAAAAAGTTATTGAGCAAACATTAATTCACGTTCTACATTTGTAAATTTCAATTCCCCCGAAACAGCATACGACAGTGAGAAGTGAGGGTATAATCTTGGTGCTTTTTTTAAATTCTCACTATTACTCCAGGTTATTAGTTCCTCACAGACAGCCACATATTTTCACACTATCACATTTGGTTGATGTTATCTTGGGATAAAGAAATGCAAATGTTAAGAGAACAACAATGACAGAATCATCAACATTTTGGTAAATGTTAAAAGTCATTTCTTTTGTGGTTTGCAAAAAAGGGAAACCCCTAAAAGAACCAGAAAGAGTCAGACCACAGTTAGTTGCATAGATTGCAACTAGACTCCCCTCACCTAGGTTCATTCATTCATTCACTTTATTTATAGAGCACTTTACAACTGCACCGGCAGACCAAAGGGCTGTACAAACAAAAAAAAAAAAAAAACACTTCATTAAAACACACGACTTAAAACAACACAGGTTCTACTAACAACAAAGACTAGCCCACCCTCTCAAAGGTTAAAGACAAGAAGTAGTTTTTGACTTCAACTTTAAAAACATTCAAAGATGAGACTTCTCTAAGTTCCCGAGGAAGACTATTCCAGAGCTTCGGCCCCGCAACAGCAAAGGCCTGATCCCCTTTTAACTCTAAATGAGAAGGTTGCCTTCTTGCTTGAATATTTTTCTACTTGACATGCAAATAATGAATGACAAAATACTGTGATGTATTGTATGTTTGTATGTTTTATTTGACTGACAGGATGTGTTTGAGTGCTGCTTATACAATTGTTGTAATTCATAGAGATTAAAACGTAAAACTATTTTATATTTAAGTGGTAACTGTTTATTCTATAAAGAGACTCCACTAATAATGTTTCCATGATTAAAGTAAAGGAGATGGTCGGGGTCTTGGGTGAATTTTGTGGCAATTTACCTTTTTAATAATCTTTTTTCTGGGATGTTGGTCACCTTGGGCATGATGTTCCTCGTCTGCGGATTGAGATTCTTCTTCTTGAGCTGAAGTTCCTCCACCTTCTGCATGATGTTCCTCGTCTGCAGCGTGAGATTCTTCTTCTTGAGTTGAAGTTTCTCCACCTTCTGCATGATGTTCCTCGTCTGCAGCATGAGATTCTTCTTCTTGAGCTGAAGTTTCTCCACCTTCCGCATGATGTTCCTCGTCTGCGGATTGAGATTCTTCTTCTTGAGCTGAAGTCTCTCCACCTTCTGCATGATGTTCCTCGTCTGCAGCGTGAGATTCTTCTTCTTGAGCTGAAGTTTCTCCACCTTCTGCATCATGTTCCTTGTCTGCGGATTGAGATTCTTCTTCTTGAGCTGAAGTTTCTCCACCTTCTGCATGATGTTCCTCGTCTGCAGCGTGAGATTCTTCTTCTTGAGCTGAAGTTTCTCCACCTTCTGCATCATGTTCCTTGTCTGCGGATTGAGATTCTTCTTCTTGAGCTGAAGTCTCTCCACCTTCTGCATGATGTTCCTCATCTGCAGCGTGAGATTCTTCTTGTTCTAAAGTTTCTCCACCTTCTGCATGATGTTCCTCGTCTGCGGATTGAGATTCTTCTTGTGCTGAAGTTTCTCGACCTTCTGCATGATGTTCCTCGTCTGCAGATTGAGATTCTTCTTCTTGAGCTGAAGTTTCTCCACCTTCTGCATGATGTTCCTCGTCTGCAGCGTGAGATTCTTCTTGTTCTAAAGTTTCTCCACCTTCTGCATGATGTTCCTCGTCTGCAGCGTGAGATTCTTCTTGTTCTAAAGTTTCTCCACCTTCTGCATGATGTTCCTCATCTGCAGCGTGAGATTCTTCTTGTTGTGCAGCATGTTGGTCATCTGAAGATGATACATCTGTTTCTTCTTCTTCTTTCTCGTCATTTTCAGAAATGTCAGAATCAGGCAGGGCAACATCTTCATTGCTACCTGAGTCACCTACAATATGTGTCCCCTCCCATAATTTGCCATTAAAATTGATGATTGTTTGGATGACTTTTGGACCAGGGAAGTCCATAGCAATTATACCTACACAATGTGGTCTATTTTTGTCTCCTTTAAGATTGAGAAGATAATTGTCAACTTGTTTATTCAGTGTTTTTGCGATTTTTAGTGGCTCTGATTCTCCGTTGGCCACAGTGTATGTGAGCATCATCTCCTGCTCACACTTTTGTGAAGCTTTCTTGATATTTTCTCTCATTTGTGTTTCTTTTGTATCCATGTCTGCATTCAGTTCTGTGATGTGAACAGGAAGTCCTAATTCTAATGTTGAACTCTGAATCAAGACTATCTTGCCTCTCACCTGGCCCAAAGTTGGAATCACTTTGTCTCTCCACACAGGCCAATTATCACGACTTAACAATTTTGTAACTTGAGCAACAGCACCCTCATCTGGAGTTACTCTAAGCAACAGTATCTCTTTCTTCTGTTTCAAAAGGAACGTCCACATAGTTTTCAAAAAATAATTAAGAGTCTCTGATTCCTGGACGCTTCCAGTTTTAACATACTTGATGCTGTCGGAGGACACGTGCAAGTCAAAAAAACGCACGCCTGCATCCAGTTGGTTGTGCAGTCCCCATGCTTGGAACATTGGTTTGGATGTTTTTAAGTATCTGTTGCTTTGGTGTGTTCCAGGGATTGATATAGCCGATAGAAGCCTGTCATTTTCTATTTTCTTTATCCATTTGTGGCTGACATACTTAGAACTGAGAGCTTCAGAGACGCTGACATGTTTTTTACACTCACACGTAAAGATAGCCACCCTGCAAGTAAAAAAAGAAGAAAGAAAAAAATTTAAGCTTGCGTGTGTGTGTGTGTGTGTGTGTATATATATATATATATATGGCACTCATATACTTTTCTCAAAGAATCAATCAGTCTAAATGTTTTCATGTTTGCCATATGCATACTCACCACAGTGGAACTTACAATATAAACACAGAAAGGTACTGAAGGTTTCCCATGATTTTTTATTTCCTTCTGCAGCAGCACTTCTGAAAAATTAATAATTGATATAGGTGAAAAGAGTTCATCATAAAGCGTATAATCGTCTAGGCTGTAATTTGATCTTGAACATCAGTCTATGAATATTTCAAAAGAGCTAAAATCACTGGTCACATTATTGAATATTGCTATTGTAAAACATTTTCAAAAAAGCAATCATAAAAAGCTGGTTTCATGCTCTTGACAGCAAATATCAACTGTAAAACCTTGAGTAATCCAAACTTCAACAGTTCTACATGTTTAAAGTACAAGAGTTCCCTATAAAAGTCATTTGCATTTTGCCACCATGCCAAAATAAACACACTAAACATTATTTCATATTTAGGAATGTGTTACATCATGATTTTCAAACAACAACAACAACAAAAAATAAGTATACTTACTCGTGCAATATCATGTGTAGAAGATAAAGAATGTTTTTAGAATTAGTTTGCACTGAATTTTTCTGACCTTGGCATCAGACAGTTCAAGAAGTAAAAAAAACGGTGATGTTTGCAGTCTTTCCTTCTGTCATATACTATACATCTTTAACTGAGGCAGTTATCTAGCATTTGACTACATTTGCCTAAACAGTCCATGTAAAATGAGCCCTGAAATAGTTTGCTTTCATTCACTGTGTACAGATAGCATATGAAAATCATCAAATTCATCTATCTGTCTTTTATAAAGTTTTTAAGAGCAATAGCGAATGAATATCCTACATTAATAGAATTTTGGCACCTTTTAAATAATGACACGACATTGTATACTATGTGAGGAAGGTAGATATTAACTAAAAGGGTACGCTGTGTTTTCAGGAACAGGGTATTTTACATGTCAGCTTGGGGCAAGTTGTCACACATTTTAAATGTTATACATTTATTAAAAAAACAAAAAAGTTAGACAAAACAAATTTGATTTGAAATATTTGAATGTTTCTCTTTTACAGTTAGGCCTATGTGGTTTCATAACTGGGAAAAAAATCAATAAACTGGAAATAAATACATCAAAACATCAATAAATTACTTTTTAGTAGAATAAAATGTGTGACAATTACACCAGCTGTCTCCAAAATTAATTAATAGATTATTAACTGAAAGATAGGCTATGAATGAATGAATGAATTAATAATACAATGGAATGTATGCCAGTACAGTACGTATAATCCATCCACCGCGCGCGTCTGTAATGATAATAATTATACTTGACGTCATAATGCCCCGCTAGAAGCAAAGTAAAACA